AGGTCTGGGACAACATTAGATTGTTCTCAATAGATATTAGAATGCTTTCCATTAAAAAAGAAAAAAAAGAATGCTACACTTAAAATTAGCAGATTTTTTTTATTTTTTTAATATTTTTAAAATATTTTTTCTCCATCCCAATATTGCTTTTTGATAATTAAAAACCTAATGTATAAAAAAAGAAAAAAATAATGTATAGTTCGCTATAGATAGCATCCTCAAATGTTTCTTTTTTACAATAATAAATTATATTGTAATAAAAAATGTCAAAAGGTTTTCCTTTTTATTGGTCAATTACTAAATTTAGAATTGCCCATACTGCTAGCTCAAAAGGTAAAAGGGGCAAAATTCCATGTCATGACCATATATAGTTAAGTCTTTGCATGTTCATTTCCTCTTTCTTCAATTTCTCCGTGTTCAATATATATATAATTTAAAATTTTGATAAATACATATAAGAGTTTTTTTTATTTTACCATCTATATTAATTTTTTATTTTATCATCTATATTACAAAAAATTATAACATAAATTATTAAATAAAAAACAACTCTTAATATCAAAAAAACCCATTTCTTACCTAATTAACTTTAATTTTATAGTACTAAATATACAAATGCAATCATAGGAACCACTCCACTTAATATCATATTAGGGCACAGCATCTACACATGCATATATGAATTGAATACATTATTTCCATACCTAATAAATAAATTAAACTTTATACACAATTACACATTATAAAAGTTAATATAAAAAACACATGATCTATAAGAAAAGCCCCATATTACCCAACGGAACCACACATAATATATAATATACATTAACTAATTAACATTATTGCATCATTCAAAAACCACATGCACTCATTGCCAGCAATTTCCCACTCCCTTTTCGTAGCTACTTGGAAGCTCACCCCTTCCATCTCTCAGTCTTCTCCCTATTTATATCCATTAATAACCCTTCACAGTTCACTCCACCGCAAATTTTCTTTTTCTCGAGTTTTTTTTTTTGTTCATTTTCGGTTAATTTGTATGCATTTAGGTATTGCAGAAGTTTGAATAGCGGTTTCATTTTATATTTTTGTATGCAACTTTAATTTTGCAAAATAAGATTTTAAGTTAGTTTGTCTTGTTTCAGTAGTTAAATTTTCTACGAGTTTGCTTTCATTATTTCCCTTCAAAATCAGAGGAAATGGAGGACAAGACTGATTACAGTCATGAGAGTGTGGCTCCATCGTACAGAGGAGTGCGCAAAAGAAAATGGGGCAAATGGGTATCCGAAATAAGGGAACCTGGAAAGAAAACCAGAATATGGCTTGGGAGCTACGAAACCCCAGAGATGGCTGCGGCAGCATACGACGTGGCGGCGTTCCACCTCCGAGGACGGACTGCTCACCTTAACTTTCCAGAGCTGGTGGACAGTCTTCCGAGGCCTGCGGGGTCGAGCCCGGAGGATGTTCAGATGGCAGCACAGCAGGCGGCTCTGCAGTTCAAAAAACCAGCAAAGAGCTCGGAGCCAAATGTCACCGGCGATGGAGTTGGGCCCATTAGGGTGGGGCTGTCGCCGAGTCAAATTCAGGCGATTAATGAGTTTCCATTGGATTCGCCAAAGATGTGGATGGAGCTTCTGGTGGGGGAGCGGATGGTTTACGGCGGTGACGATTTTGATAGGCATCGGAGTGAACCGGAAGAAATGCACGTCGTCCTCGAGTCCATTTGGGATTATTAATTAATTGTAGACCCTTAGTTACGTCAATTACCTTTCTTCTTTTTTTTTTTTCTTTTTTTAGAAAAAATGAAAAGAGAGAAGAGTATATTATTTAGAGGTTTTTTTAAAAAATAATAATCTCCTACCGTAAACATAATTAATGGGAGAATGCAAATACACAGATTTTTATATTAAAAATATCATTATATATAGTTATAATTATAGGATAAATATAAGTCATAGGATATTAAATAATCTTATTTAAATTTTATCTATAATGTAATTAAACTTAGATGTTATAATATTTTAATATTAATATGTCTTGATTTTTTCTTTCTTAATTAATTATATTACTTAATGATATTTGGGGATTTAACCCCCCGATTATGTACTAAAATTTGAAATTATTATGAGTAATAATTTTCATTTCCCCCACTATCACTTTCCATTTTACACATGGGCAATTTTTGAGAGAGTTGGAAGTTATATACCGCGAAGCAACCAACCATCTTAGACTACATTTGAGATTTTCATGTATGGTGTGGCGTGGCGATGCAATTTCAATAAGAATGACTTATATGGTGCTTTATATATAAATCTAATATAATTCTGATTTGTGAAGGGTTAGGATTTGACCTAGTGCATTCGATGCATGTCTTTTTCATGGAGATTTGGTAGATATGTCTGTTTGCTTTTTAATTACAAACTTTAATTATGCCATACGGCATTGATTTATTGTTCGTTTACCTGATTATGTCTAAGTCTATACATAATGAGATATAAAAGAAAATAACGTGTTGGAACGGAGGGTGCTGCTAACTCCCTCAATCACACCATATAATGGAGAATGTATTTTAACGGCATATGTGAATGAAGAGTCATTTCATTATTTCGTTTTGTTGGACTTGGATGTGTATGTAAGAATTATGAGGTTAGGTACAAAATGTTAACTATTAATATTTTTAGGGGTTTGGCCCAAATTGGGGCCATATGTAATTATGAAGCCCAACCCAATTACAAGATCACCGTTATCATCACTAATAATAATATTAATGATTATTAAAATTAAAAATATTAATTTTATTAATTTAATTTATAAAAATAATTAAAATAATAATTATATTCGTTAACTAATACTTTAATTGATAAATAGTTGACTGGTTAACAAATTAAATTTAATTAATTAAGGTAAAACCTCAAATCTATCCTTAAAAAAGATCGATAGGGATGGATCCACCCTCACAAAAATGAAGGGACAAATTATTCTTTCAGATCATAAATCAAGACAAATCACTTATTTTTTAACATTTTTCATTAAAAAATACTGACGTGGTAGACATAATTCTGACGTTTTTCGTTAAAAAAG